CATTCGATTCTGCCAAGAAATTCAAAGAGTATCCGTTCCATATAGAATTCTGATATTGAATAAGCAACTTTAAGTATGTAAATATAAAAATCTTAGATTAAGCTTAATCTTAAATATAGTAATTAATAATTATAAATGATATTTGAATTTTCTTTAATTTTTACGAAGTATTTTAGCAAGTGGTAACGCTTTATATGACCTATAAAATTTTGTGCAAGTCGACAATAACGATATTGATTTTGTCCTAGAACATGAGCAAAACCTTTTACGTTTCACAGGACAAGAGATTTTGAATCTGTGCCAAGTAACAATTTTCGGATAAATTTCTTGGTAACAACCGTTTTATTTGGATTTTCATTATTTGTTAACAAAAGTTGAGCTACGTGATACTATAATTTAATAATACAGCCTAAAATTTCAACTAGTTGTGTATGGCATCGTACCTCAAGGTAAATTGCTGGAACTTCCCGTACCGTAACGAAATATTCGAAATGTATTAAATGTTTTCATAATATTGTATCATTGTCTAATATTTATAAGAGTTATATAAACTGAATTACAAAGTTAAAATTATTTATTTAAAGCATATAAGTGAGCTTTATAACTTTAGCTAGAATTAAAATTAAAATGAAAAAAAAATAAGATAAAAAATTGAAATAATTTTATTCCAAAAGTAATTATTTTGTCAAAACAAGCAGGAAGTTTTTTGAATCATTTACATCGGATGCTTAGTTTTCTTAGAAATTGCCATTTACTGCACATTTTGCTCGGTATCTCCGAAACGTCTGGACCTGCCTTTGCAAAAAACTAGTCACCACTTCTCCTCATCACTACAAACTGAATGTTTTTTTAATGATTGAAATCGGATGTCAGTACTCTCAAAAACTCGATTTGCATTTTCTGCACTCTTTGCTTCGTATCTCCGTAACGGCTGGACCTGCCTTTGCCAAAAACTAATCGGCACATTTCCCCATCAATAGGAATCGAATGTTTTTTAAACCATTCAAATCGGTTGATCCGTGCGCCCGAAAACGTGGAGGAAAATATGCGGATATACAAAACACAGACACACATTCATTTTTTTTTGAGGTATGCCAAAGTGTTCAGAAACCTCTGAAACGTGAAGAAATGCAAAAATTTTTATTTTCTAATTTTGACCTATTACTATAACTTACCCTACGGGAAGCTAATAATGAATTTTAAAAACAAAAATTAATTTAGTAATGCAGGTGTTCTTTCTTAATTTTAAATGATATCTCGTACAAAAACGAATAAACTTGGAAATTGGTATATCGATTTTGAGCAATTTTTTTAAAAATTTGCACATTCCTAATGAATGATTTTATATTTTATTGAAATTTATTCAATTACTTATGTTAAAATATTATAACTGCAGATATAAATTTGCAGAGAACACGTTATTAGCATGCAAAATTTTATACAGTATTGTTAATATGTTTGTCTGATGTGTTGGAGCAAAAAAAGTGCATTGTTACATAGAATAATGAAAAATTTCTCGACAAAATGCAGAATTTTATATATCTACACTATAATTTAATAACATAAGACAAAATTCGTTAATCTTATTATTAACTTCTCGACAAGAATAATTCTATAAGTTTTGGTCAGAAAATCCGATTCCATAATTTTATGGTTCCTCGACGTTTCAAGTCATCTGCATCGTTTGACACCAAAATTTAAAAAAATAATAGTATGTATGTTCTTACATTTCTTTGAATTTAAGAGGAAATGTATTGAAACCACACATGAAAATTCGAACCTACCTCGTAGTTTTAGTCAAATTTTTTCGTTTATGTTCATTTAATATTTAAGAACATGTTGTATACAATTAGTTTATCCGTTAATTTTGCTGCTGAAGCAAATTCGTGTTATCCATTTCGGCGGAAAAGTGCTTTGTGCTAAAATCCTTTCATCCAGAAACATTGATTGCATGATAATGGCTTTATGCTAATTCGTTAAAACGACAACAGGTAAAATCAACACGATGCTTTTTGTATATTGAATAATGCACGATTTGGATTTGTAGAGATTCTGTAAATGATAGAAGTATTTTTATCAATAGTCATATTAATAATCGATAGTTATATACTATAAGATTATGATGGGTGGACCATAGTGGATCGCCTGTTGAAGTGGAAATATTTGTTTCTGAAAAAAAAAACATTATTTTAACCCCTGGCTGGAAAACAAAGCTCCAACCACTAAAATATGGGGAAGCCTTTCAATTGGAATTTGTTACATATTTTTCTAATTTTTGATCATTTTATAAAAAAATTTTTTTTTATGAAAACCTTTCCAGTTGTTCTGAATATTTAATACACAACGAATGCATATTATAGAGAACGTGTAATTGATGAAAGTACAAAGTTAATTATTTATGTCTCACATACTCCAAAAAGAGTAAAAAAATGAGATATTTCACAATCAGCCGGTATGTGTTTGCAGTTTTTTTATTACTTTTATTATTTCAATAAAGGTCACAGAAGCATGTGGTTTTATATTCGAATAAACTCTGACGCACTTCGCACTGGAAATAAAAGTTTATATCTATTAATGGATTCTGTCATGAATATTTATTTATTTTAGCTCTTAGCGTGAGTCACGTGGATTTAAGGCAAGTAATTGGAAAAACTTTCCCCAAAATGGAAAATGAAATAGAACTAGTTTCAATTTTGAATCATGTTATTCTACTTCTTCTAATTAATTATTGCCAATTAACTTCCGATATTTGAAGTATGTATTTTTAATAGTGTGTGCTTGAGGCAAAAATTGACCCTTGTCGACAATTTCTTAAAAAACGGCTGAACCGATTTCGAAAAATTGAAAGGTTTTCGATTAAACTCTATAAGACATCGCGTTTTCCTTGATAAAAACGCGATTTTTAACTGCAAAGTCAAATCAAGTAACAGCAAAAAATTAAAAGAGAAAAAGATCAAACCATTGAAATAAAAACGTTTGGCATTGTCAATATTGTGATATTACTGTGATATAAAAAAAATACATTTCATTCATGTGTGTAATGAAGTTATATCAAATTACGCCAAGTATCAAATACATTAATGACGTGAAGGCTTTTTATGACGTAGAAAAATCGCTTGTGTTTATTATATACGTAAACAGCCGATACATATATATGTACGCAAATAAAAAAAAATGTTTTCATGCACCTAACTGCGTGTTAATTTCATCTTGAACATATGAATATTTATTT